GCGCACATAGCTTCATTTTCATTCTACTGCCTATGACTGCAGTAACCGAGATCCAACTATATTTTTATTTCACTTTTTATTAGCCATTCCTGGCAGAGCTCAGCCCCAAATGGGCCAGTGATATTGCGGGGGCTCTGCAGCATGGGAAATTGAACTCGGGGCATTCAAACCCAACTGTAGAGGCTTAAGGAAAATTAAAGATTTATTTGTTTTATATAAAGAATTCCAGAACTTAGCAGTCCAGGGCTGATGAAATGACTCTGTGTTCCCCAAGAAACCAATCTCCTCTTCCCTTTCTCCTGGCAGTGGTCCCCAAATTTATTTGCCCTACTATCCCTTTTCAGGAGTGATTTCTGAGGAGCAGTGCCAGGAATAAGACCTGAGCACTGACAGGTGTTGATAAAAAAGAAAATATATATGTATTGTGGGGCAGGAGTGATAGTACAGAAGGGAGGGCATTTGCCTTGCACGTGACTGACCCAGATTCGATACCTAGTATCCCATATGGTCCCATGAGCACCGCCAAGCGTAATTCCTGAGTGCAGAGCCAGGAGGAACCCGCTGAGCATCACTGGATGTGACCCAAAAGCCTCCCCACCAAAAGTATATGTATCGTTCCTAAGTCTACTCTGCACCCCGCCACCACCACCTGCCCCAGGCTGCTCCCAGTCCAGAAAGGCTAAGACACCTCAAGTTCTTACCTCTGCATCTCAGGTTTAAAGAGAAACATCAAGGGAGAATCAAAGGGCTGACCTCAGTTCTGTCTCCTTCTCAAGGTGTCTTCACACAAGTGCTTTCCACCCAGCTCTGCTTTCAACTCATTGGTCCGGAAATTAGTAACTCATTCACAGCTAAGTGCAAAAGAAACTGGTCAATGCAGTGTTTGGCTGGGTGCCTCTTTAATATCAGGGTGCAGTTATCATAGGAGGGAAGGATGCATGTTAGACAAGTAACTGAAAGTTCTCGGTTTCCAACTCCTCCCCCTTTCTCTGTTGATGTGTTTTACGTAGGGATCTTGTTAGCGCCATGTAGCCAGTCTTTGTTTTACTCCCTGACTAACACAGTCTGTCAAATTTCTTGTGACCACAAGTAGAATCCCATTCTAATTTCTATTGGTTATCTTTAAAAATAATTTTTTTTAAATTTTGCAGTGCTGGGGATTAACCCTAAGCCTCCTGCATTAAGAGTGTGTGCCCTGCCACTGAACTCCATCCTTGACGTGTTGTGCTCAACTTAAACCGCGTATTTTTGTTCTTCCCAAAGAGCCCGGGATCTTCTCTAATTCCCGTCCTCTAAACTTACATGTTGCCTGTCATGTAAAGCTACAACTGGCTTTGAGCCTGCTCGACACTAGTCATTACCGGCATGATTTTGTTTTACTGTAATGATGACTTAGAACTCTTTGCCAATTTGTTGGCTCATTGCTACTGCTTGCACTCACTTCTTAATTTAATTGCTGTCTTTCTTAAACTTCCTTTAACAGATCTTGGAATAGTAGACTTTCTTGGACTTTGCCTGGACATTTTTTTCTGGGGAGCCACACCCAGCTGTGCTCAGGGATCACTCCTGACAAGTCTCGGGAGACCATATGGGATGTGTGTTGGGGGGCTGACCCTATGTCTTCCATGTGCAAGGCAAGCTCCCGGGCCACCATTCTATTCCCCATGCCTAGGAAATATTATTTTATTCTCTTTTTTTCATGCTTCTTTGACTGTACATGTACTTGAATGTGTCATTTCCCTCACCACTCTGAAGTTCTATTCTGCCGGCCCTCGTTTTGCTGTTGAAATCCTCTGTGTGCTTAGTATTCCTTTTTTGAAGTCTGTCTTTCCTCTATTTTAAAATAATCTCTATTGGGCTGGAGCAATAACACAGCGGGTAGGGCGTTTGCCTTGCATGCAGCCAACCTGGGTTCGATTCCCAGCATCCCATATGCCCCCCCCACCAGGAGTAATTTCTGAGTGCATGAGCCAGGAGTAGCCCTTCTGCATCTCTGGATGTGGCCCAAAAAAGCAAAAATTAATTAATTAATTAATTTAAAAATCTCTCTTTTTTTTCTTGGGGTCCATACCCAGTATTGCTTGGAGGCTACTCCCAGCTCTATTCTCTGGGGCCCTAGTGGTGCAAAGCTGGGCTTCTTGCACTCAAAGCCTGCACTCAGCCTGGAGAGCTGTATCTCTGGCCCAAATTTACTTTGATTTCTCTGTGGAAGACTTAAGGTTCCTGAGTCTGTGTCTTTGATAGTTTCTGAGTCGTGAACAACTCTCACTACCAGTCCTGGCTCTTCCTCTCTCTAGCTCCTTATTCAGAGTCAAAACACGGGCCTCTGAAACTTCCTCCCCCTCCTCCTTTTTTAAACTTTTTTTTAAAATTTGAGGTACTGGCCTGGGCTGGAGCAATAGCACAGCGGGTAGGGCATTTGCCTTGCACGCAGCCAGCCCGGCTGAGCCGGGTTCGATTCCTCCGCCCCTCTCGGAGAGCCCAGCAAGCTATCAAGAGTATCTCGCCCGCACGGCAAAGCCTGGCAAGCTCCCCGTGACGTATTCGATATGCCAAACACAGTAACAACAAGTCTCACAATGGAGACGTTACTGGGCCCGCTCGAGCAAATTGATGAACAACGGGAGGACAGTGACAGTGACAGAGGTACTGCTAACCATAGATGGTTTCCCATCTCTGTAACTCCAACCCTCCTTCCGCATTCCTTTAATACATTCTGCCTAATTACTCCTGAGCACTCTCACTCATGAATTCTTGCTTCAGTGACCTTGTTTTGGTTCTCAATCCTTTGTTCCATTTATTTTAGAGCTGATTGTTTTCCTGTCTAAAAACTGCCTTTGGCTCTGTTTTTCCAGACTACCTTTTGGTTGTATACTCCCTTTTGGTTCTAGTCTTTGTCTACTGGGTTTTCGCCCACCCCACCGGGGCTTCCACAGCTGGTCTCTCAGTCCGGTCCGGGAGTTGCCTGCTCTGCTGCCTCTTCTCTGGGACTCCAGCAGGGCGGCTTCTTGCACATTTTGTGATGTGGAGCTATTGAGTTGTTGTCTTCAAAGAATCGTAGCCTATGTGTTGGGGTCTGCTCTTGGCCTGAGAGATCTCAGCAGCTGCGTCTGACACAGACCTCCGGGCTTTTCCCGAGCTTCAGTCAGTTCAGACGCTGTGAGGAGAGGCTGGGCACTGGACTTTAGTGCTCACTGATGGATGCTGGGGTTCCCCACTCCCACATTTCCGGTTAACCTCCTTCCATGGGGGGTAGATTCTCACTCTTGCTTGTGGTTTTTTTTCCCCTCTTGTCACCTGGATGTTTACAGCCTGTTGCCCTATCGGCATCCGGCATCCCGGTGTCAGGAAAGCCAAGGCTGACCTGCTCAGGGACGGTCCCTCCCTCCCGTGCTAGTCTACACTTCTGTTGAGACTTCTTTCTCTCTCTCTCTCCCTCTCTCTCTATCCTCAGGCCACACGTGGCAGTGCTCAGGAACTGCCCAGGTGGTGCTCTGGAGACCATATGCTGGGGTAGAACTTGGGGCTTTAGCACGTGGCATGTGAGCTCCAGCCTGTTAAATCATCTTCCCACGGGACCTCAGGCCTCTTTCTGATGCACGGAGCAGGCGATAAAAGCAGGATCAGACTTTTCCCAGCATGTCTGGGCGTTTGCACCTGCGCTGCTGCTGCCTCTCACCCGCTCCCTGTCAGGGCCAGCGGCTCTCTGTGAGTCTCTGTCAGACTTGGTCTCCTTCACTGGGAGACAGTAGCACCTCCTTCGTGGGCTGGAGAGGAGCTGCGAGAGAAAGCAGGGGACACTCGGCATGGGACCTCGCATGCAGAATGTAAACGTGTCGTTATTGTTTCTCCAGAAACTCTGGGAGGTTTGGAAAAGTGTCAAGAAAATGAGACAGAGAGGGAGAGACGGGGAGAGGGAGAGACGGGGAGAGGGAGAGACGGGGAGAGGGAGAGACGGGGAGAGGCAGAGACACGGGGAGAGGCAGAGACACGGGGAGAGGCAGAGACACGGGGAGAGGCAGAGACACGGGGAGAGGCAGAGACACGGGGAGAGGCAGAGACACGGGGAGAGGCAGAGACACGGGGAGAGGCAGAGACACGGGGAGAGGCAGAGACAGGGGGAGGGGGAAGGATGGGGAGGGAGAAATGGGGAGGAGGAGGGAGAGACTGAGCGCCTGACTGAGAGACTGAGAATGAAAGAGAGACTGACTGACTGAGAGACTGAGCTCAGCGGGCCAGAGGGGCTGCTCTGCGCAAAGGAGGCCTGGGTTCGACTCCTGGTACGGCATGGTCCCCTGAACTCAGTCATGAGAGAACCCCGAGCACTTAGGCAGGGGAAGCTCCTGAGGACCACCTGGCGGTAACCCCGAGACAAAACAACAACAAAAAATTAAACACTGTCCTGTGCCCTGGCCAGCCCTGCCACGTGCTTCCAGCCTGGACCTGCCTATGCGTTTGGAGCGAAGCGCTGTAGACTCCCCCTGCCATTGCTCTGGGCTCAGGCTGCCACGTGTTTCTCTCAGTTCCAAGGCAGACGCAAAAGACCGGAGTGCCAGAGAGCTGGGGCTGGTGAGGGCCTCTCCCGGCAGGCAAGCAGCTGCCTCCTGTCTTCCTGTGATAGGGACCCCTGCCCCAGGGGCTGGAGGTGAGAGAGAAGAGGGAACAGACGCTGGTTTCTTCCTAAACCTGCACCAAGCACACCCTGGGGTGTCTCGTGCCTCCCCGAACCTCAAACTTGTTCGAGTCAGGACTTTGGCAAACTTCTCCCAGCTAAATCAACCGCCATCCGACTTCTCCGCTCCCCTCTGCTGGAAAGTGCCTCCGGTCTAGCAGGAACCAGGAGGTTTCTGTTCTCCCTTTCCTGGAAGAGGCTGCTCAATGCAAGGTCCAGGGCCCTGCGAGCACACTAGGGGCGAGAGACCCCTGAAGCGTGTGTGGTGGGAGTCTGTGGCATAAGAGTGACCTGCTGTCCCCTCTTCTCTCTTGTCCCTTGCCTGCAGGTTATCCTACCCGAAATGTTTCTTTCTCCTCCAGTCACCTTTCAGCTGCGGGCTGGCTCTGGACCCGTGTTCCTCAGTGGCATGGAATGTTACGGTAAGTCCAAGCTCTGCGCTTGGAAATACGCAAAAGTGATGTACAGGGCCCAGGTGACCACCTGATCATCCTCACAGGACCTTGCATGGTCAGAGAAAATCCTCAGAGTCACAGGCATTGCTACTGGCCTGGCCAAGAAGGCCCAATACTCCTCTACCTTACCCCCAGTGCTCTCTAAACGCCACAGGGCTTAACAATTGGTCTCATCTACTCTCTGGTAGTTGTGAGCGATCATTTGAATACGCAGGTAAAACAATTAGGATAGTAAAGTTCAGCACGCAGGTGAGCCTGAAGCTTGTGGCTGTGCTACTGATGTTGACCCCAGGAAATCCGCCCACCAGGGGTCTCCCCCCACCCCCGCAACTGTCCTGCCCCTCCCTTAGGTTAAGACTGGATTCCTTAGCTGGTCCTCCCCCCTGCACCACTGTTATGGTGTGAGTCCCCTATTCAGCCAGCAGGCGGGTGCCCCTTCCCCATCTTCCAGACCCTCCTCCCCCATCCTCCCTTCCACCAGGGAGGCCAGACCCCCCTGGCTGCCGGGAAGGCAGCAGGTAAGCTCAGTGCTCTCCCGCCCCTGTTCACACCATCCCAGACACTTTAAATGTGTCCTGGGAGGAGGAGGAGGAGGAGGAAGAAGAGGAGGAGGAAGAGGAGGCAACAGAGGAAGAAGAGGCCACAGAGGAAGAGAAGGCATCGGAGAAAGAGGAGGCAACTGAGGAAGAGGAAGAGGAGGAGGAGGAGGAGGAGGAAGACACCCATTTAGTCCTAGAAGAATCCCCTGTCAAACCCATCAAGAGGTCAGGACCTCAGAAGCAGAGCAGTGTGGCTAAGGTGAGGAAAGAGAGTTCCCAGGGGCGCCTCAGAGCCTGTGCCAGGCCACCCGAGCAGCGTGTATGTGCCCGGCAGGGGCCTGAGGCCAAGCGACTCCCCTAATCCTTGTTTTTTGTTCTCAGAAGAAAAAGGTGTGCAGTGATGAGGAAGCAGCAAGGTAACTCTTCTCCTCCGTAAGCTTAGCCAAAACCCTTTAGCTGAGATACGTCGATCGTACTAGGCGGGGCAAGGCTAGTGGGGTGTGTTCGTGTGGGTGTACCCGTGGGCGACAGTCAGCTGCCACACTAGGTGGGCATAAGCCCTTTGAAAAGCATGAGAGATTTTCAGCTGGTCGCTTCCACGGAAGCAGTCCCTTCCGAATGGCAAACATGGAGATTCTCTGCTCCGAGAGCCCTAGCACAGCATTGCGAGAGCAGTGAAAGAACATTCTGGAAGCCCCCCGCGCCAGTACTGTCACGTCTCTCCATGTTCCCAGTGTTCCCTAGCACCTGAGAATCTAGTATCTAGGAAAGTGCTTATATAATAGGGAAAAAAACCAGAATATTAAATATCTTGCACGGGATCTTTATTTGTGTGTGTGAGTGAAGGAATCCCAAAAGTAAATACACTGAAATGTTAGTCCTGTGGATAAAGAAAAGTATAAGTAATCTGTTTTCCTCTCTATCTGCTCTATTTTGTGCAATGTCAGTAATATCACTTTCATCATGAAATAATCACCTTGCCACTAGTAAAAGCGAGCTGATAAAAGCTTGTGAAGTCTTGTGAAGAAATAAGGAGCCAGGGGAACTGGGGGGGATAGTTCAGGGGTTAGATGCGGGCCTTGCACGTGACTGGTTCAATCCCCCCCACCACCACCTGTGGTCCCACAAGCACAGCCAGGTGTGCCCCCTTCCCCAAATTCAAGTGTCAGTGAGGCTCCTGGCAGCCTTCCCTCTCTGTAGACCACAGCCCCTGCTTCTAGAAGGTTCCGAGGTATACAGCTTTCCTGTATAGGCCAGGGGGAGGGCTTCTGGTGCCAAACTGAGCTTTCTTTCCTTACCCATCACCCCTCCGCAGGCCCAAGGACAAGAGCCCAGTGAGAAAGGTAGGTGCTGGCCTGTGGTCCTCCTTGAACTGGGATGGTCTGGGGCTGGCGCTGGCGGGGGACAGGCTGGAGCTCTCTTTCCTCCACAGATCAAAACTGTACTCAGGCCTAAAAAGACGGTGTCCAAAAAATGAAGAGCCAGAAGTGAGCTGGCCACAGCACCTGAGAGGTCTAGAGCACCTCTCCAAGGCCAGCCTCCCGATGTCACCCCCACCCTGAGTGGGACTGTGGAGGGAGGGGGCAACACAGACTCCCCCTCCTCTCCTCCCAGCTCTCCAGATTCCGCAGGACCTGGGGGGTAAAGGGCCCTATTAAAGTTTGCTTTGCCAAGACCTTGTCTCTCCCCTCCTTCCGGGGGCAACCTTCTTGCTGGCTGCAGTGAGCCCAGATGCCCAGCAGAGCACAGTCACACACTCGCACCCAGACCCAGCAGCCCTGCCCCCACCCTGGGTGCCCGGTCACACCACCTGAGGGTGTCCTCTGCTTCCCTGCCCCTTCTCAGCCTCTGGTGACCATCTTCCTGTGGGGCGCGCTCGGGTGCTCGCCCTGGCTGGGCGGCCCACAGGAGGCGCTCCTCCTGCTGTTGGGTGCTGGGTGGTCGGTCGGAGCCAGGCCCGAGTGCTGCTGCTGCTCTCCCAGGTCTGTGCCCGCCAGCTCCCAGGTGAAGGGGCTCAGGATCCCCTCCCCCCCATCAGAGGCTAGAAAGGAAGGTGGACAGATGGACACTCTGTGAGGCCAACCGGGAACTGGAAAGAGGGTAGGTGACCCATTGCCTGGTTCTGACCTCCTGTCCTCTCCAGGCCTGGGGACACCTAAACAGTTTCAGGGCCTCTGCTGGGTCTCCTCCATGCCCTTCCCAAGTCTGCAGTGGCCTCATGCCGTTTCCCGGGACCCCCAAGGCCTGAGCTTCAGAGCCGAACACCTGTGTGGAATGGCCACTCCAGGCCCGAACTTCTGCTCCAGCACTCTAGGGAGGAGCCGTGGGCAGGGCTGTCCGCCCAGAGCCTCCTGTAGGGGGGCGTGCACCCCCTCTCCCAGCCCCCAGCCTCATCTTTTTTGGTTTGTTTTATATGCGGGCGACATCCAGCTATGTGCTCAAGACTCACTCCCAGGGGGGCTCAGGGGGCCATATGGGGTGCTAGAAATCAAACTGGGCCCACCACATGTAAGGTGAGCGCCCCTGCGTGCTGTTCTTTTGGTTTGTTCTTTTGCTTGCACAGCAGGTAGGGCGTTTGCCTTGCAGGCAGACCCGAGTTCAATTCCTCCGCCAAGAGCCCGGCAAGCTACCAAGAGTATCTCGCCCACATGACAGAGCCTGGCAAGCTACCCGTGACATATCCGATATGCCGAAAGGAGTAACAACAAGTCTCACAATGGAGACGTTACTGGCCCTGCTCGAGCAAATTGATGAACAACGGGAGGACAGTGCTACAGTGTTTTGTTTTGCCGTTTTGGGTCATACTTGGTCACACTCGGCAGTGCTCAGGATTTACTCCCTGGCTCTGCACTCAGAAATTACTCCTGACAGTGCTTAGGAGACCATATGGGATGTCGGGGATTAAAACCCGGTCGGCCACATACAAGGCAAATCCCCTACCCGCTGTACGATAGTTCCGGCCCTTGCCTGTTTTATGTGGTACGTCCCTCCAGCACCCGGGCTGCGGTCCTGCTCTCATGGATGACAGGAAACCACTGCTGCGGGGTAGCCAACTAACCGGGGCTGTCCAGTCTGGCTCCAGGGCATTAGCACGCGCTTCCCAGCACATAGTGCCACAGCAAACCAGTGTGGACAAGGCAACGTCCCACTTGCACGTCGCCTGCTGTCCAGTGGACAAGCCGCGGGGTGAACTGGCAGGGTGCAGAGTGCAGGTTGGCAAAGCCAGGGGAACCCCTCAGGAGGTGGTTGGTGGGTGGGACAGGGAGGGGCTGGGCAGGGCCAAGAAGTACAAAGGGGCTTGGCATGCTGGAGACCCAGGTCTGCTACCGGCTCAGCACTGTCCCCTGAGCAATGCCGGGAACGAGCCCTGAGACTGAGCACAGCCAGGCGGGCCCCGAAAACAAAACTAAGAAGTTCGAGACAGGAACAACCACTGACACGCTGGGAGCCAGATCACAGTGGGGGCCTGCCCCCCACCCCCGCACACTCAGCCCCCCACAGTGGTGGAGGGATGCGCAGTTCACACAGCAGGCTGCAGCCTGCCCCAGCCTCTGGGTGTCCCCTAGAGCCTTAGACTCCTTACCCCGCCGTCACCCCAAGGACCCGGCAGGCCAGCACTCCAGGTCATTTGACTTCAGGGGCCCTGCGGGGGTGGGGGGAGTTCTCTGGGGCTCAGAGATGAGATCGGGTCTGTCCTTCCCAGGCTGTGACCTCTCTGCTTCTCCCCAGGGCCAGGGTGGCAGGTTGATAAGAGCCAAAGCCCCAGGTGGGCTCTGCCTGCAGCTGTACCATGGGGAGGGGAAGTGATACCCCACTTGGGAGTGTTGAACTTGGCCCTAGGGGTGAGAATTACTTAGCACTTCATTTATCGCCTCTCTCGACCCCCCCCCCCCCCCCCCCCCCCCCCCCCCCGCCACATAGATGCTAATGAATGTGACCCTTCTCCCAGACTCCAGCTTCCTCTGACCAAGGGAGTTGAAGCAAAGTCCCAGTAAGTCAAGTTCCCACACGCGTCTCCGCAGATCTTGTGCCCTCAGTACTTTTCAGGGCATGTCCTTACCCCACCACCACCCACCCACCCGAGACACTCACTGCCACAGCTCACTGGCAATGACTCTGATAGGGACCATCCCCTTTGTGGAAGTCCATCCCGAACCTGTGGCCAGAGAAGTGCAGGGATTTTCCATGGGTAGCACAGCAGTAGGGGCATTTGCCGTGCGGGCAACCAGCCCGGCCAAGCCGGGTTCAATTCCTCCACCCCTCTCAGAGAGCCCGGCAAGCTACCAAGAGTATCTCGCCTGCACGGTAAAGCCTGGCAAGCTACCCGTGGCATATTCAATATGTCAAACACAGGAACAACAAGTCTCAAAATGAAGACGTTACTGGGCCCGCTCGAGCAAATTGATGGACAACCGGAGGACAGTGCTACAGTGCTACAGACAATTACAAGGGCCAGAGCTAGATGGCGACAGAAACAAGTCCAGGACTGGCCCTCTGGGTCTCCCCAGGAGTGTGACCTTCCCTGGAGGGTGAGGAGTGGCAAACCCGCCACTTGCCTCGCTGGGGTCACCCAGGACCCTCCTATCTTCCACCCTGACTCCTGACTCCTGCACTCCACAGCTCTGCAGTGGAGCTAGTGGCATGCCAGAAGTTTCTGGACCCAGAGAAAATATTTTGGATGATATTGTTGCCACATTTGTCTGACCTTATTCAATTCTCAAGAAATACCTCCACTAACATAAAGTAACAAAATGGAAGACTAACACCCAAGAGTGGCCAAGATTAGTACCAGGAATTTTGCTCCATGGCTTGGAGGCCAGCCACACATGCTAGGGGTAAGGGGAGCTCAGATAGAGAAGGGAGCACCAAATAAAGAGTGTTGGGAGGATCCTCCCAGAATGGGAGAAGCATGCTGAAAGGAGACTATAGACCAAACATGATTGCCACTCAATGCTTCTTTTGCAAACCACAACACCCAAAAGGAGAGAGAGAACAAAAGGAAATATCCTGCCACTGAGGCAGGGTGGGATGGGGGGATGGGGGGGAGGGATACTGGGACCCGTGGTGGTGGAGGATGGGCACTGGTGGAGGGATGGGTACTTGATCATTGTATAACTGAAACCCAAGCACAAAAATTTGTAAGTCTACAACTGTACCTCATGGTGTTCCACTGATAAAAATTTAGGAAGAAAGAAAGAAAGAAAGAAAGAAAGAAAGAAAGAAAGAAAGAAAGAAAGAAAGAAAGACCTCCCCAGCACTGATAGAATTCACAATCAAGACAGGCCAGGTAAGACAGGCCAGGTAGGGGCTGGAGCAATAGCACAGCGGGTCGGGCATTTGCCTTGTATGTAGCTGACCAGGGTTTGATTCCCAGCATCCCGTATGGTCCCCCGAGCATAGCCAGGAGTAACCCCTGTGCAACGCCATATGTGACCCAAAAGGTGGAGAAAAAAAAAAGACAGGCCAGGTATGGAAAGGAAAGGGGCGAGGAGCAAATAGGTGACCTGGTGCCAGGACAAGGCGACACAGCTGTCCCCCCAACCCCCGATGCCCTGGCACCAAAGCCCCCAGCTGAGCCCCAAGGCCAAGCTTACTACTGGCATGTTACCCTAGAGCCCTAGGCTGTGTCTGCCAGTGACAGCAGCTCTCTCGGTTCCCTGTGCTTCCGCATCTCTGGTCCCTGGACATCACCCCAGCCGCCACCTAGGGCACTCCTCTTACCAAAAAAAAAAAAAATAGTTATTTATTTACTTTGATCTTTGGGTGCCCAGGGGATACTCCTGGCTCAGTGCTCAGGGACCCTGTGGGATGCTGGGGATCGAACCTGGGTCAGGTGCCGGCCAGGCAGTCATCCTAGCTGCTGCTCTATCGCTCCGCCCCACCACCAGCCTCTCCTTCGGTGCCCTCCCCGCCCCTCCAGTCGCTCTGCCGGCACGAGTTTAATCTGACCCGTCGGGACTCTGGGCTCTTTCCTACCATTCCCAGGTTTAATCTGACCCCTCGGGACTCTGGGCTCTTTCCTACCATTCCCAGGGTTCGGACAAACGTGGGGAGTGGACGTGCTCAGAAGGGTGAAGCAACACCAGTAAAAGCAGAGGGGAGGGTGGGCGGCAGAACTGGGGAATGGGGAGCCCCTGGGTCTGATGCCTAATCACCCCCCACCCCAGCCCATGATGAGGCCCCTGGGGGGAACTCCTGTGGCCGCAGCTGCACCAGCTGAGGGACCCCTAAGTCAGGCCAGGCCCCTTCCCAAACGCTGACCTCCTGGGCCGACCACCCCCCCACCCTGCCTCTGCCTCCTGCCCCCCACAGGGCTGCACCTGGGGGTGCAGAGCTGGTCCCAAGTCCAAGCAGTAGGTGCCTGTGGTGTGGGGAGGTGGCAGACAAGACTTTGTGGATTGATGGAGCTCAGGAAGGCCAGAGGTGAGACTTCCGGCCTCACACTCAGCCCTGTTGGTAAACACAGCCATGGCCAGTTGCACCCCCCCTCCCATCCGGGACACAGAGGTGACACACGGGCCCACAGCCAGGCAGTGAGGGGGGTTGGTGAGGATGAGCTCTCCCGGGGGGGGGGGGGGGGGCGGTCCCCGACAGAAGCAGCCAACTCCCAGTCACCCACCTCAGCACCTGAGCTGTCTATCCTTGGGGTGCACAGAGCAGAAACCCCACACAGTCCTCAGGGGACAGAAGGAGCTTAGATTGCAGGAATCTACTCTAGCTATCTA